TGTTTGCACCCCTTATTCGGGGGCACTGAAGATAATGATAAAAATTCACATTTTACCATTACGGGACTGAACTATTATGAAGGGGTTTTGCTTCTTTAAAACATTTTAGTGTGTTTCCTTGTTGAATAGAAATGTTAACCATCTTCCTATCAAGTCAGTTCTTACAGCAATGTATAAGAACATATGGGCCATGTCAACACATGTGAATTTTAGCAGAAGGAAAGAAATCATATTTCGCCCCCCCCCCCAACATCCAAATGACGTCAGATGACTTTAAAAGACAAGTCTAATTCTAAATCACCCAGATAACCCCAAAATAGCCCAGATGGAATACAATTTCTGTTTTTATGTTCCAGTGAACATAAACCCTTGTGGATTAGGTCAAAAGATCACAGTCAAGGGTATACAATGGACAACGCAGTGTCAGAATTTCCTCTTGAAGAATTAACCAATGCCAATTTATACATTAACATGTGTGTCCTTGGGATCCCCCGGGAAAAAGATGCACAGTATAGGAACAGCCGGTAGCGGACGGGAAGATACTGTAACGGTATTTTATAATCTACGATTGTATGTGTTTACAGGGAGGTGTCACTCTATATTATGGAGGTTTGGATTGGCTATATTATAGTAAGGTTAATGACCAGCCTGACCCTCGGTGTATACGGTGTGGTAAAGCCTTGTAATATGCTATAACCATCTCATCAAATCATCTTATTCGCTATGCTCACTTGGTGGTTTTATTCGGTTGTTATAGCAACTGACAAGGCTTTATCACAAAATATACACCTCGGGGAAGGTCACTTATTACTGGGCTTTTTGCGGATCTTTGGGACTGGAAGGGGGCTCATTCGCCCTCCCCCCCTCAGAACTCGTGAACGGTATATCATATGACCACCATTTTAAGAGGATGGTTTACTAGTAATAATTATCCATAGTAACTACTAGTATTTTGTATATCAATACGACGTAATATGACATCATAATGACGTCATTTTGTGATTTTACTGCCTAAAACCATGAAAATAGGTTATTCTCGTAAAACTTAATAGTATACAACAGAAGTTTAACAAAAAGTGTTTGTGATAGAATGTTAAGGTCTACTAAAAATGTTGCCTATAGCAACACAAGTGACGTCATAAAATGACGTAATGCATATTTAAAATAGCCGCCATCTTGGATCGTCAATCTTGAATTTTGGAAATTATTCTTTTTTTCTCAAAATAAAGCTTCAAGAATTCAAGGAAAACAGACAACATAGGTTAAAATATACCTTCAATATAAAAAAAGTCGGAGCAGCGATACAATTTTAAGGAAAAGGCCGGAATGTACCTTTTCTCATTATATGGTCCGCCATCCTGTTTTTTTTTGACCGATGGCGTTATGAGATAAGCATGAATTATGCATAATTATTGATAAAATTACATAGAATTACATCGGCTGTTATTTCAATTTCAATTAATATTAGATAGCACGTGGAAATTAGAATAAAAGCCTGCAAATTTTATTGTTTAAACCAAAATTACTAGTTTTTGCCAAAAAATGCTTGAAAGCAACCCGTTACCATGGCAACACAAAATATGAAGAATTATCTCACTGCAAATAATTTATTCCCAACAATATTTATGAAAGTCACCAAGTTTGGTGGCCCTAGCACAAGTCGTTCGGACGCTATCCGACATTAAAACTGGCTCAACTCATGTCGGCTGTCTAATGTCCTGGGCAACTTTAATCCGCTAACAACACTAGACAATAGTGTATAACGTTTACCTCAGAGTGTTAATTGTAGGGAAATAACGAAAGATCGAGTAATATTTCATTGATTGTCGTTTTTTTTTACACAGACTTGGCTTGGAAGCTGCTACCAACCTTCCCATTCGATCGGTTAGTGACGAAAAAAAAGGTGACGGAAGAAGCGTCTTTAATGATCTTAAGGTTTCCATAAGTGATAGGAAAACGTCTAATGGCGAAAAAGACAAGAGAATCGTTAGAAACTGCCAACCGAAATCAAACGTGGTGTTTCTGAAGACGCACAAAACGGCAAGTTCTACAGTACAGAACATACTTATGAGGTACGGCCTGGCCAGGAATCTAACATTTGCCCTACCCTATCCTGGTCGTATTCTGAGCCATCATCGCCACTTTTCAAAGTCAAATGTCCTCCAGGAGCAATTCCTTGGCAACCGCACGGCTTACAACATCCTGTGCCATCACATGCGATTTCACTACGACAGCATCCGGGACCTCATGCCAAAAGACACCGTGTATGTCACCATAGTAAGAAACCCGGTAGATATATTTGAGTCGTCTTTTGAGTACTTTGGATTTGGTCCAATGTACAACATATCCCAGCCAAACGCACTAGAGACATTTCTCGACAATCCTTCATACTACGTCAGGAAATTCGGGGAGATACCGCATTCGCACAACTCCATGTTCTACGACCTTGGGTACAACAACAGGGATCTGACCTCACAGCAGACAATAAAATCCATTATTGAACAACTTGATCGGATTTTCTCTGTTGTCTTGGTATCAGATTACTTTGAAGAATCTATCATCTTATTGAAACATGCTCTGTGTTGGGACATCGATGACGTCACGTTTTTCAAACTCAACTCTAGGAGCGAGAAGTCTGTACATCACGTGACTGCAGACATGGCGAGGAAAATTCTTCATTGGAATAAGGCTGACGCCATGTTGTTCGATCACTATAACAAAACATTATGGTCAAACATTTCCCGCCTTTCTTTGACATGGAAAAACGAAGTTCAAAAGCTTAAAGAAAGGAACTTAGAACTAAGAAACGCCTGCCTGGAATCTGGTCGGGTGACAATGGACGAAGTAGAAAAGGAATTTAAAGTTTTTCAGCCAAATGGAATTTCTATGAATGGCTTTGTTCTGAAGGACAGCGCCAAAAAAAATACGACATGCAGGTGGATTGCAATGCCGGAACGTTCGTTTACAAGGGAATTGCAGAGAAGGGAACTCAAAAAACTAAACGTCCACAAATTGCATAGAAAGACGACCCTTTAATTTGGAGCAGGATTTAACCCTATCTAGACCGGGCTTTTTTGAGCTTTGTGGGACGGGGAGGGGGGGGCTCTTTCGACCACCAAATTTTCAAAGAATGGTGTACTAGTAAAAATTTATGATACTTACAATTTTAATGTCGTTATGACGTAATATGACGTCATCATGACGTCATTATTGTGATTTTATCGGCCAAAACCGTCTAGATAGGTTATTCCCTGAAAACTAAACGGTATACGAAATAACTTTACCAAAAGTGTTTATGACAGAATATTAGGGTGTAATGAGTCTTATGTTGCCCATAGCAACACCGGCGACATCATAAAATGACGTCATGCATATATTACCTATCCACCATCTTGGATCATCAATCTTGAATTTTCAAAAATATCTTTTTTAGGATAAAGCCTAAAATACATTGTAAATAGACTAAAGACGTTCATATGAACCTTTTTTGTAAAAAGAAATGGGAGTATTGATGAAATTTTAAGGAAAATAAGCTGTATTTACCTGATCTAATGATATGGTCCGCCATCTTGGATTTTGGCCAACGACGTCATGAAATTAGCATAAATTATGCATTTGTTATGATAAAATTTACATATAATTATATGAGATGTTATTAATATTAGAAACCATGTGTAACTTGACATAGAACCCATAAAATTCTGTTGTTGAAACGGAAATTATTAAATTTAGCAAAAGATGCCTGTCAGAAACCCGTTGCCATGGCAACAAGAAAAATCATAATCTTATTCCACTGATAAAGATTTGTTGCCAACAATATTTTAGGAAAAGTCACCAAGTTTGGCGGTTCTATAGCTCTAGCCGTTCAGACGCTATGTGACATCAAAGTTGGCGCGGGCACTTCCCCCCCCCCGGGTCTAGATAGGGTTAAACACCAGTTTTTAAATGTTAGTTTCCAGATTGGTAATATTACGACGTTATCTATCTATCCATCTATTTATTTATCTATCTATCTATCGATCTATCTATCTATCTATCTATCTATCTATCTATCTATCTATCTATCTATCTATCTATCTATCTATCTTATCTATCTATCTATCTATCTACTTTCTATCTATCTATCTATCCATCCGTAAATCCATCCAATCCATCTCTGTCTCTCTCTGTGTTTGTCTGTGTGTTTGTGTCTTTGTGGAAGCAAATCATAATTTTGTCCTAAAGAAAATGTCTCTAAAATTAATGCATCGGTTTATATATAACACGCGACAATATTTTAAAAAAACCTGCACACAAAAATGATCCCTAGAGAACTATCACTGATATCTACATACGTGTTGTCATCTCTTACACCATTGTATGAAATGTGAAAATATGAAATTGTCCAGGACAAACTATGTTTGAAAAGTGATTGGTAGTCATGAATGTAAAATCTTTAGAATATGTACAAAACTTTATTTTTTTAAAGCTTTTGTGCTAGAAAATAGGTGACATTAGTTTGGGTTCCTAGCAGAATGTTCTAGAACTCAAGTGCAGTTTGTAAGAAAATCTTCGTTACAAATCCTTGGGTCAATTTTGACCCCGCTGGACGACCTCAAATTCTCTAGGATTACGCAATCAACAATGTTCCAATCTTAGTAAAACGTGTTCCAATGTTTCAATGTTCCATTCTCAGTAAATTAGCTCCTGATTTGCATAATTTTCATCTGATTATGTCAAGCATCACGTCAGCTACTCACATGCCAAAAAAAACTACAATCCGTCTACCATGTACCAGTTCTTGGGTTATCTTTTTTTTATTTTTTTTTACAAACGCTCCTGCAGTTCCTGAACAAGCTGCTAGGGGGCACAAACTCATGTCAATTTTTATTTATTCTAAGAAATATCTTCCAACCAAAATTCGTGACCCTAGCATATCCAGATCGCGAGACATCAAAACCGGAAGTTCTGCTGTAGTACCAATAAAAGCAGCCAGGGGGCAAATCTAATAATTTCTAGGTCTCATCAAGACCTACCCATCTACCAAGTACAGACGGACAAACGTTACTGAAAACACAACCTTCTTGGCGAAGATAAAATATCTTAGGTCGGAGACCGCATGCCATAAAGGAACATTTGTGTATTCTTTTTTTTATCCTCAACATTACACCTTCCCGGACTGATCAATCTGTCACCCTGGGGTGCGCACGGACCTCAGAACAATTTTTAGAAATTATCAGTATGCTTCCAGCTCAATTGTTTTGCTGAATTGATGTGTGAAACTTTGAGTCCACATTACGTACAAAAATCATACATTATGACCTTTTCCTATTTTTTGGTGAAAAAAAAAGAAATACCCTTTCTTTAAAGATTCTTAAACCCTTTTCAGACCGATAGAAGGTTTTAAGGACCGCGCCAACTTTCATCTCAGATAGTGTCTGAACGGCTTGCGTAAGAACTACCAAATTCTTTGTCAAATAATATAATGGTACAAGAAAAATAATGTGAACATATCCTTATTGATCTTAACCTGTTTTATCCAGGAGCTGTCTCGCTGTAAAGGTTTACCGGCAACAACCTGTATATTTATCACATAAGAATGTTTCAATATTTCTATAAGGGATGGCAGAAATCAGCTGCATATATCTAGAACCACCACAAATAGTGCCATATTTTATTGACAATTATTCAAATGTCATTACTGCGTTAACCTCATTAAAATGTTATTTACAAAAAACATTTTTATCTGAAAGAATATCTGACTCAAACACACCTCAAACCGAACTGACTATTACTGTCGGAAAATTGTTCATAGATCGAAGGAATTAAAAGATCATTCCGACACAATAGTAGCCAAAGGAACCTACTGAGTTCGGCCTACGGTACAGGTATATCCTAATATACCTGTACTGTTTTTAAACCGGTGCCGTTCGGCAACACAATGCCACAATCATGGCCTATGAAGCGCAATATTCGTCTACTAGTAGATCTACTGCAGTGATATATCTAGGTTTCTTTTAAAATCTCAACCCATCATACAACCCAAGGTCATCCTATATAACGTTATATATAACTATAATACGAAATGAGCAAAAATGAGCACAAAGGGCCAGGTGCACAAAGTTTAACTTTGAACACCGGGATACACTTAGAACCCGTTTATACCAAGTTTTATATATCTTTATTCTTTAGTAGGGTTTAGCCTGGTATGAACGCAGAATATACAGCTTCACCAAGACTCATTTTCGATCGATGTTGTGTGAACATGTAAAGAACAAAAAGTGTGTACGGATTATGGATTGCCATGTGGATCCTATTTTCTAAGGATGGCTACAGCCGTGTTTAACCATGGAGGTAAGGCAGGGGAATAACGCACTTCTCAGCTATCTATTGTGACTGTAATTAGTTAGGACACGGGGACGTGCGTCAATGCAGCACACCCTGGATAAGCAACGGTGTTTATCCAGGATGTGCACTTTGGGAGGGGCTTTATGGTTTAGGAGGCGGAGACTATCTTGCATGTGATTATCGTGGTTAGAAGACCGCCATTTTGTTCTCCTCGCCCAGAGTTAGCGTAAAATTAACTCAGCTGCTGGTTCTTCATATATATAACAACGTTATAGGATAGCGACACTTCGTTGTGCACACTTAACTATGTAACTGTCCCAGAATGTTTATTGAGGCATGATATATTGAATGCAAGTCACTATGAGCTCCATTCGCAACGTCGCTAGCAAACAACAGATCTGGATACTAGCGTGTGTTACACAAGATCTCGGCCGGAGGTTAATGACTCCTCGCCCCATGGGGTGGCGGACTTCCGGCGGCCGGCGAGGTTCAGTCAGGCTAATCTGGATACCTACTCGCTCTCTCCAGAATTTGTCCCAGACCAAAAGAGCGCATCCTGTACACGTGACAGCTCTATCCAGAAGTTGTCTCAGACCAAAAGAGTGCACCCTGGATACGAACTTGCTATATCCAGAAGTCGCTTTAGACCAAAAGAGCGCATCCTGCAGGTTTACCTTGTTTTGAACGTTTTTTTATTCTATTTTTTTTTTAGTTTTTGCCGGGCTTTCTACTTCATCAGCTTTCCTTTTGGTATACTCAATAAAAACTGAATAAATACACATATAGCTGGAAAAAAACCACCAAGACGTCCAAAATTCAAACGTCCAGATCTCATTTTCACCTCTGCTTGGAGAGAATGCAGGGTCTCTCCTGGGTGTACTTTTTGTGTGTTTCATCAGAAAAACGAAAAGATGAGTAAATATTTCTGCCAAACAATGCGCTTCTAACCGGTTCAGAAACCCGGCCAGTTTTAGAAAATGCCGGTCCTGAACCAAAACAATAATTTCTTCCGCTCTATACATTTCTCAACACGATTTTGAAATACCGAATTCCACAGTAATATATCGTTCTATTGTAGGTTATAGCAAACTTTTAGGGCTCATTCTCTGTTACTTAGAACTTCGCAAGGAGTTCTTGCCTAGCCTTGGACACAAATGCTTGACGGGTCCCACGCCCAACAGCATTTTACTACATTTCAGAACACGTCCCTTATTTCTCGCATTGTAAGCTTAACCTCCATAGTATGGTGTATTCCTTAGTAAAAATGTATTTTAAATGGCAAAAAAACTTTTATGGTATCATTTAAAATCTTCTGTATTTAGACTAAACGTACATGTAAGGGACAAACGGTTATCATTGGTTGGGGAACCGGACATCTTCATGAAAACAGTATCTTATAGCCTCGCCTACCGTTCGATTGCTCTATATTATATCGCCTGTAATTTTGCTCGATATTGTTCTAACTTACGGCAATCAGGCGGTACCTGTTTTCATGTGAATGAATACCTTGAGGGGACGAACGGAACGAAAGTTGGACAAACGACACCTTCACAAAAACAGTATCTTATAGCCTCGCCTCCTTGATAGTATATAATTATATATCGCCTGTAATTTTTCTCGATTTTCTTAATTACGGCAATCAGGCGGTGTTTTAATACCTTGACTGACTGAAGTAACTAGCTGGGAAGGATTTTTTATGGAAATAATGTAGCCATTGCAGCAATATTCTTATGTCCTAAGCTACCTAACAATGGCTGTCTTGGCATCCCGCCAGTTTACATCAGGCAGACAATTAGCATTTAGTTGGAACGCCATCGGCTATTCAAATTCTGACTTAAAATACTAGTAAGCCAATCACCTCATGCCTCGCATAAAACGACGACCAATCAGTGCTTATGATACAAATTTCAAATCCGTCAGATGGAGTGAACGTCACTCTATGTTTGAGCATTGCAGAGTGTGCACTGTGCAATCTAATCTTACCGTTCTATAAAATGTCCACGGTTTCTGGAACCATGAAAAAGGAGACAATGAGAACTTTTTTCCAATCTTTATTCAGATTCAATACACATAACAATAATGTTGAAAACGAGACAAACTGATACATGAACAAAAAACGAATAAACAATTATTTTACAGTAACAATAAAAACTCTACAAACAATAAAAACGCTAAAACCATACCTAAATCATCTACTCAAATGCAGAATACAATTTCCCCTGCTTATCCATGTGTTTTGGTATTTTCCCTCTTCTTCTTCTTGCAATATTAATCTCCAAATCATGAAAAAATTTGACAAAAGATACAAAGTTCGACAATTTTAACATTCCCCGGCGATTTTTGAAAATGTACATTTTTCCTAACAGCATGATTAAATTGGAAATGGCAGAGCATTGATCATTCAGATCCCCAAACACTATTTTCAATTCATTCAGTTGCAGATTGGTTTCCGTTTTGTCCTGGAACCTGTCATGAAAAGATTCCAAAAAATAAATGACTTTAGAACAGTTCCAAAAGATCTGTTTTGGTGTTTCTTCCTCCTAACCGCACAAAGAGCAATTTGGTGAGTTTTTAATGTTCCAGAGATGCAATATCGTGTTTGTGGCTAAGAATTTATGAAGTAATTTATATTGAAATATTCTGGTTGGGGCATCCATTAAAAGTCTGTATGATAAAATTAACACTTCTTTCCATGGTATGACTTCATTGAAATCATCTTCCCAGTATGACATGATTTTAACTGGATTTGTTATAAAGGTCTCCATGAAATGATTATACATCTTTTTGTTAATTTTAACAACCAGTCAGGCATTGGTAATTCTTCAAAGTAGGCCTGCACCCCTAGTACATGCAAGTGCGCACCACTGCATTCAGGCCTCATGGAACCGTTGCGAGAGATCGCAGAAACTATCATATTATAGTTTTTAGAACGAACATATTTAAATTTCTTAACAAACAAATCATAAGTCAGGGGCTTCCCATTCATGCCTAGCACGTCCTCTACAAACAAGACACTTCTGTCGAGGAGGTCTGTCCATATAAAGGGTTTGCCGTAAATTTTAAAATTTGAGTTAAACCACAATATTTGCTGTTGATTGGATAGAGAATAATGATCAGGATGGTTGAACTGAAAGACCAGCCATGCTGCCAGTGCATCCTTGAAAAACACGCTAACTTCGGGAAATTCTCGTTGCAGAAAGGTTTTAACTTTCCTGTCATTATTATCTATCTGCATGAATGGGTATAGCCCTTTGCTAAATATAGGCCACCAGTGCACTGGGACTCCACCCAGGTCTCCCCGGCGCCAGAGCTACAAAAGACCAGGCACCCACGACATCTCGCCTCCCTCATACACTAAGGGAATGAATGAGGGAAGAAACACGCACGACAATCGCGAAGGCCACACATCAAGGAATGCTAGTAACCAATACTGGCGGGATAACGGACCTCCCAAACCGAACCAGTACAGGGGAGCACGAGTGGGACCATCCTCGCCGAGACCGTACGAGTCGACAGGTAACACAGTGAACTACGCCCCACCTAGGATGTCAAACAGACCGGCCAATCCCACCCCTCCCCCGCCACTCTACCCAAACCGACAGAGTCCGCCACCGCCACCATAATGGCTCCAGGAATGGCCCTCCCCCCAGCTAGAGGCGTACGGCGGCCCACCGAGAAACACCGGACGCCCCCCTGGCTTGAGCCCCTCCCTTCCCTTTCTACAACATGGGGAGAAGCTGGCATGGACGCTTTCCAGGCTCATCTTTTGGATTCAATGAACGACCTCGTGGTTTCAACTAAACTCTGATGGGCATCCCTCAACGAACTTTCGATGTGAGGAAGTGCTCAGCAAAGAACTCTGTTAGCAGAAGTAGAAAGTGTAGCATTTCTTAAAGTTTCTGGAACATACACGGACTCGGCAACAAATTAGAAGATAGTGATTTCATTAGACAGTTAGAAGGGTTTGACTTCTTTTCATTATCAGGGACCTGGCACAGCGGTGAGTTGACCATTCCTAATTTTCTCTACTTTAGCAGCTCTAGAACTAAATCTAGAAAAGCTAAACGCAACTCCGGAGGAATTATTTTTATGTTTAGAAAACAATATAAGGACCTTGTTTGTAAACTAAATAGTAAAAGTGAGGATATTGTATGGGTAAAGATAGATAAACAATTATTCAATCACGATAGAGACATATATATATCTAGCATCCGTATATATTAACCCTCAAGGCTCAACTATCCATAATAACCGATCTTATGACATATTTGACGTCCTCGAGGACGAAATTTCACACTTCAGTGGGTTGGGTGATATTTTAGTTGGGGGGGGGGACTTCAACGCGCGTGGGGAACCTCCCAGATTTCATAATTGATGACGCCCCATTAGATACCCAAACCCTCCCAATCGATTACAACTTTGATCACCCCTTCCCAAGAAATAACATGGACAGATGTAACCCCACTAACTATGGAAAAAATCTCATTGATCTCTGTATCAATTCTAAACTTAGAAAATTCTAAACGGACGAACCCCTGGAGACCTGCTGGGTAAACCCACGTGTTACCAACCCAAGGGGTCTAGTGTAGTCGATTATGTTCTGGCAAGCGAAGGCATTCACCTTCGCAAATCAACCTTTTCCCATGCACACCCATTATCTCCCCTATCCGACCACTGCAAATTATCCTTAATGCTGGAAGGTAACTCTAAACCATATCAACAAAAACAAGCCAAACCGCACACAATCCTATATTAGATTTGTCTGGGGCACTGACTCCAAACAGAAATTTAACGAAATGCTCAACTCAGCATCCTTGTCCTCCAGTATCAGTTCCTTTATACACAAAAGCTATGATCTGACGCCAGAATCGCTAAAACTTACATGACTTTGTAACTCCACTACAGGAGGCTGGTAAAAACTGCTTGTCATTACGCCGCACCAGTTCAAGAAAACAATGTTCCAAACAAGTATGTAAGAAAAAGTGGTTTAACAAGACCTGTTTGTCCGTCAAACGCGAACTACAAAATCTAGCTAAACTGCTATCCAAAAATCTAAACAACCCACTTCTCTTCTTCGTAAGCTCCGAAGAGAACTATGTTTCCCGTCTATTTCACAGACAAACACACACAATTAGGGTAGTGAGCTCACCGTCACGTATCTTTGCAGAGTTAAATTCATTCTCCGACAAAAACCCCTCTGCCTTTTGGTCACTACTAAAAGAATATAATCCTAACAACAAAGTACAAAACCATGAAATAATTTCTGACGAAAGCATGCACTCCCATTTTAGACATCTTTATGGTGAAGACACCAACACCAACACCCAAATCTCACCTAACATTTTTCAATTACATATCCAAAATGAACTACTAAAACTAGAACAAAATGTACAAAACAACTCATTGGATACACCTATTACGAAAGACGAAATTAGACTAGCTATTTCTAAACTCAAAAACCGAAAGGCCTCAGGTAGCGATCTTGTCCGTAATGAAATATTAAAATGCTCCCCCCATATCCTTTCAGAACACATACAAAACTTTTCTATAGTCGGGATACTTCCCAAAGGATTGGTGCACAAGCCATATAGTGCCTGTTCATAAAGGCGGGGCAAAGGATGACCCCAGTAATTACAGAGGAGTCTCCGTAACAAGTTGCCTCGGAAAATCTATTCCCAATAACCGCTAGATGAAAATAAGCTTATCTCCCCGAACCAGGCCAGCTTTAGACAAAACTTTGGTACAAATGATAACCTCTTTCTCATAGACACTCTTATAAGCAAATATTTCGCAGCAAATAAACGCCTGATTTCTTGTTTTATAGATTTAAAAAAGCATTTGACAATGTTTGGAGAGATGGCCTCCTTTATAAACTACATTCAGGGGTGGGGTGTAATTTTTAAAAACTTGTAAAATGTATGTACTCGAAACCGGAGACATGCGTCAAAACGCTATCCGGCTTAACTCCCCCTTTTGTTACAAAAAAGGGAGTTAGACAGGGCTGTAATTTAAGTCCTACTCTGTTTAATTTGTTTATCAATGATCTCGTGAACGTACTAGATAATGATGATTGTTCACCACCCTCACTACAAAATCTATTCGTCTCATGTCTATTTTACGCAGATGACATTGTTATATTTTCAGAATCTGACAAAGGATTACAATGCGCCCTCAATAAGTTAGAAGACTTTTGTAACAGGTGGAGACTTCAAGTAAACCTAAACAAAACCAAAGTTATAATATTTAACAAATCCGGCCGGACACTTTCTAAACAAACATTCTCTTATGGAAAAGACATGCTAGACATAGTCCCCTCCTACTGTTACCTCGGTCTAACTATAACATCATCAGGCAGCTTTTCCCTGGCTAAAAAACAACTGTCGCTTAAGGCACGTAAAGCCATGTACAGCTTAAAATCTCTCACTCGTTCCTCTGTCTCCCCAATGTGTTTAATGAGAATACTCGATACATGTATTAAGCCGATTCTCCTGTACGGATGCGAAATTTGGGGCACAGTTCTAAGCTATAAATGACAACTCATGAGTTAAAACTACTCACCTGCGTTACTGTAAGAATATACTAGGGGTCTTTAGAAATAGCAGTAATTTAACATCTAGGGCTGAACTGGGCAGACTGCCATTAGATATAGATATTTCACTACGTGTTATAAAATATTGGCTCCGACTTGTACAAATGGATTGTAATAGGCATCCGCTGCAAGCTGACGCTCTTCTGTTTCAACAAAATGCACATTGTCAGAGAAAAACCTTACTACAGCGTGTGAAAGAAATATAAGATTCTAGTGGCTATTATTACTTATTCCATTCATGTAACACTTCTTGTGATATCAAATCTATATGCACCATGTTAAGGTTAAGAATTTCTGATATGTATGTACAAACTATTTCCCACAAGTTAAATGTTGATTCTGGTAAGCTAAGGTTCTACAAAAAATGTTAAACAGCATATTCTATGGAAGAATACCTGGATTTAATCGATTTTAACATTCGCTCTGCAATAAGTAAATTACGAATTAGCGCACACCCTCTCGAAATTGAGAGAGGGCAATATAAGAAGCTCCAAGTGTATGAGCGGATTTGCAAACATTGTACGTTGAATACGGTGGAAGACAAAACGCATTTTATCTCAAATTGTACCCTCTATAGCAATGAACGAAATGAACTCTTTGACTTAGTCTCCAAATTCTACCCAAACTTTCACGCATATACAAATGAAAAGAAAACTACTCTCCTCTTAACATCCGAAAACCCACAAATTATACAAAAAGTGGGATCCTTTGTCTTCCTCTGTCTTCAAAAAAGAAGTCAAACCCAGAAGTTTTCTACTAGTAGTATCTTAATAGTTATCAGTAGTTCTATGTGTACTAATTACCTGTTTTTATACCAAATGTTTCTTCTGTTCCTGCAATTAGCCTTCGGGCATGAATTTGCAATAAAACTTTCAATATAACATGTGTATTGTACAAAAGCTTAGAGCAAAACCAGGGTGCATTACAATAAAGTTTCGGTATCCATGAAGCTTTCAAAGAAGCATTGAAGGCAGATAAATTGATTAATTTCAAACCCCCACATTCGTACGAGTTATACAACACTTTCCTTTTTACCCTCTCTGGACCATTGTTCCATAAAAATTACATATCTTTTTTTTCTTCGTACAATTGAAAAAAAAGGACTGACTTGGGGAAGGAAGAGTTAGAAACAAGTGTGCAAATAGTTATAATACCAATTAGTTTCCAGGGAATAACCTATCTAGACGGTTTTGGCCAATAAAATATGGCGGTCATACGACATGCCGTTCTTGAGTTCTGAGGGGGGGGGGCAAATCAGACCCCCACCCAAGCCCAAAAAAGCCCGGTCTAGGTAGGGTTAAACCTAGCTTAAAAGTAAAATTTAAGAATGCAAAAATATTGCTTAAATTTCCTTAAAGAATGCCAAAACGGATCCTTTAATCATGCTTTAACCCTCAAACACCCGAACGGGGTCCAGACGTATATTTTGATGTGCTATTTGATTTTTTTTTATTCTAAAAAAATTCCTCCCGTGACTTTGTCAGTAAACCTCTTCTACAAGTTTTCCTAAATTTTTTTGGAGATCGACACAAATTTGTAAAAATAACAACGGAAGTAAGACCGCCATGTATTTCCACTTTCCTACACACACAATTGTGCAGATGTCCTCAATATGTCTTCAAGGAAGCATTATTGCTTTGATATTATGCAGTTTGCCACGTTATCTCAACCTTAGGAATTATTTCATCAGGTTTTCAGAGGTTTGACAATCATATGGGGTCAAAGGTCAACCCCGTGTTCATGCCTGCAGGCCTCATCCTATTTTTGCGTAAATTATGATAATGAGCTAAGATTTCTTAACACCTAATCATGCCGAAATAAACGTCTTAATATGTTTAACCAATATATATGTGCAAAGGTCACTGAAAGGATGCAAAAAGGAATATAAATTTGAAAGAAACCAAATGGTCCATTTTTACCCTGTTCGGAGATTAACGTCACACAAAAAGTTCGGGTGTTTGAGGGTTAAGACTGTTTGAGTAGCTGATTTCGTGCAGTGATATAACCCCAGATCGACGCCCGTTCTGTTTGACTTGCGTCACACACGATTCCGTTCGAAAGACAATTGCGACTTTGGTGCCAAAATTTGACAGGATTTTACTGAAAACTTGTATTTAATTACCCAGAAAATGAAATGTAGAGACAACATAGGTGGTTCTTTAATGAGTAAAACATACGTGCTTCCACACTATGCCAGACCTTTACAATCGTAACAGGGGGGGGTGCCCTATTCAACATCGGATATTTTTTTACGCGCTCGAACTCACGGCCTTTCACCCTCCGCGTTACAAGCGACATTATCTGTGAGACGTTTTTATGAATGTACATGTACCTTCATAAGGGCGGAATTCGGACGCTTTAGTAATTTGGTTTCTTCAGGCGTTGATGATAAAATTTAGTAAACAAAAATCACGGTGGTAAAATCTGGGCTGCAAAGTTCCCACATTTCATAGAATCCGAACAATGTTCGATCGTGTTCGATCTGGGCAATTCGAATCGAACCCGCGTTCCATTTCGGGGTCACCTGCGGGCATTTACAATAAAGCGGCAAAACAAGCCCTTCTGCCTGAGTTACTCGCAACAGATAAAAAACAACACTTTTCTACACAAACAGTTTGTAGGACAGTACATTTTTATGAACATGTAATATGTAGCGAAGCTACTGCTGTATCCTTGGGTGACCTTGAATACTGTAATGATTCTTTACACCTGTATGAATAACACAATGCACAATTTCGGGCGATATGACATGTCTGCAAAACTCGTTCAAACCTGGAAGCATGAAGAGTCAAACATACCCCATTTACGGCTCAAAATGACTGTAACAGCTTTCCTGACAATCTTGCTTTAGGGATTTTTAAAATATGCGCTCGATTTTGAATTATTGGTAATTTAATAGAAAAAAGCCAAAATTTAAAAAATCCCTAAAGCTCGAATTTTCATCTTATTCCTAGTCATCGAAAGATGTAAAAATCAATGATCTTGCATTATATGTGTAGCCAGGTTTGCTCAGTGATTGGCTAAAATATGGCACTGCGAAATCCAAAAAAATCATCCATTATAGCGCAAAAAAACACCATTAAATGTATGTAAATACAATAATTTTATTTTACTTCAGCGAAATTTTCCCTTCGATACTAGTTTGTTTATTTTCAAATGTTTAACGGTTAGCCCAAAATTGCGTCTTGTAACCCAGCACTTGTTCGAACGCCCCCAGCATGGGAAAGAATGCCGTAGTGACAGACCGCCGTAAATAGGAAAATAATAGTATATTATTAGCCTGCTTTCGACAGTAGAATTGCGATTGTGCGACTTACGCAATCAATGCGGTCCCAGGGGAATGAGACGACTGTGGTGTTTTTCCTAGGTCGTTGTTCTACAAAACAAACACTCAGAGACCCCCATATTTACTGTTTTGTAAAGCTTTATTCCTTGTGTATGTGGCAGTTGTGTTAAATCTTAGTACAGTTCGTTTATGTCTGCGCACGAGCTGCAGAAATGAAGTGACCCTCTTTTTAGCTCCAATGTTATGATTGGTGAAAATAGTTAACATTTTCTTTTTCTACAACAATAAAATAAGCATATATAATTTTAATTTGCATTCAAATAACAGCTGTATGCATTGGCTATGTTTATTTGCTTTTGTAATTAGCGAAGTTAGTGGAAGCAAACACGGCATACTTTTGCATAAAAAGATCAGTAAAAAATCCACAGAAGTTTAGGGCACCCGCTGTTATACGAAAAACCGTCCATAAAAACATAATATATATACCCTTATATTTTCGCAAAATGACAAATGGGAAGGGACACCAGCCAACTTATGCAAGAATATCTAATTCAAATTCAGCTGTAGCCAAGCAACTTTACCTTTTATACTGAAGACTCATTTTATTCTAGAAATGGTAGTAAGCTATTGCCAGAGAAAGTCAGTATCGTTCAAGAGCACAGCAAGTCGCTGGTTATATGGTTCGTAAAACTTGTTTAAGATCTTCCGCGTCTTTGGCAACATCTGGCCTATGTTGCCATAACGCCACGTCTGCGAACGCTTCGCATTTGAGGTGTAGATAGCGCCTTGGTCAGCTTTTTTCTTAATAGGGCCTGTAAAATACGTTGAGAAAAATATCCATTAGGAGTATATCGTGTTATGGACTTAGTCAAATTCGTCATACAATCATTGTGCAACTGCAAACAGAAAGTATTCTTGGAAAAGTCGTGCAGGTGTTGTACAAGATTCAGCTCAGTTGTAATGATACCAAAATGTGCCTTACAGATTGTTGTCAGCGGTTGTCAGTAATTTGTTCTGTCAGAAAAAGTTAGCAAAAAAATCAAACCACTACCTACGATATGTCAGGGCAGTAAGTAAAGAAGAAAATTGCAACGCAAAATTACGGTAATACCTGTCATTTCAATACTGCAAGTTGTTATACGTATATTTGTCAGAAGATTTAGATAATAGAACAAAACAACTACTAACCAAGATCTAAGAACTTAAAAACTTCTGTTATGGTAGAGCGAAGATCCTTAGAGTAATCCTCAAGACGTTGCACAAGAATTTGGTCCCGAGCAAAAATAGACAACCAGTCACGCAGGTAGACCTCGTACAGCCCCAGCCGTAGTCTAACCTAAAAACAATATCCTGACATGTGACTAATACCAGCTATGTTATGTCTTAATGAAATTTAACGTTGCCACCTACGAATGGAAACAAGCAGGATAGGCAAAAAATGCAAATGTTGAGATTATTTGCACATTTTTCCTACTAAAAGAAACAGCACTGCACGAAAAATCCTTTCCGGGTGGTATACTCCCGTACACACGCCCGCAAATTCCATAAGGACATTTCTAAGTGTCTGAGACCCGTACACTTGGCGTGTACCGGCATGCACACGGCCCGGATATGCACCACTCAGGTGTCCGGGCCGTGTACAGGCCTGCACACTCCACCTGTAGGTGCACCCGATCCTGTTTTGATTATCGAGCGAGTTCGTTAATCATGGGCCATGATTAGACGAGGGCCTCGTCCTGGGAGTACTGGCACAGTGTGCCACTCCAGGGATGTCAAATTCGGAAGATTCGAGGATGAATGTTGAAAAGAAAAGAGGGAGTAGTGTAACAGTGGGGGATGCGCTACCAACTGACCCAGCTGATGGGTCTTGACATTTTAGCCAATTCGGTAGGAGCGTTGGGTCATGAAGCTGGTGCTCAGGTGGTCGTGGGTTCGAACCCCGGCCCGGGAGTATCTTTCTGTTTCTATAGCCTCTACAAGGCTTGAGGGCGCGGCTGGAAATAGTAGAAATTGGCCAAATAGAAATATAACATAGAGAGAGTTTAGCAATCCAGTTTACAGTTTGCCGGCGAGGCTACTGTTTCTACTCGCTCCTCTGGAGTGTTTCTAACACCTAAACCAATGCCATTATATACAGAAGTGTATAATGTCCTTGCCTGAACAGTGCCTTTCCCGGTCCCCAGATGAAAGGGCCATGCAGATATTACTGTACCTGTAAGGTGCCTTATCTGGTCCCCAGATGTAAGGGCCACACAGATATGACCTATATTTAATACATCTAATAAAAGCAACAGAATTGGCGTTTGGCATGAGTGCACCGACCACACATTTCAAACATTTCAGGTTTTTCTTCTATTCCTACTATCCTAAACCTAGTGAGTGTGTATTTCCTGTGTCACTATATGAGAAATTAAAAAAAAATGTGTGGTGTCTTATCTGCGGGCCAATGAAATAGGCCAAATATTATACTGGTTACATGGCTTATCACCATTGGAGCCGGTCGGGGATAGGGATGGCTACACGCACAATTTCATGATTAGAATACTAGTATCATGGCCTAGTCATGTAACGTATAACTGTTACCTCCTTGCTAGAAACTGCTCAACTACTCGTAACTACTACTACATCCGAGCGTCAAATCGGTCTTGTCCAACGCGTCAACCCCTCACCCTGGAGCGACTTACCTGTACAATAGAAAACGTATGTTTGGGAAGGTGTATTTCCAAGCGTACAGAAGCCAGCCACACCGGTAAAAACGGCCGCCATGTTGCCTGCAGTTGACCTCTGGCTGTGGGGTCATCCCGCCAGTCGAACTGCGCGCAATGCATTTATGGAGTGTACTCTGGGGCAAAGAGTTCGTAAATCGCGGCACCCTGGCGTACTCCGAGAACGCGATTAGGCGAGGCCCTCGTCTAATCATGGCCAATGATTAACAAACTCTCTCGATTATCATAACAGGATCGGGTGGTAAATCTCCGCACACGCCCGGATACGTGACACGTACCTCAAGGTGTGTGTGTGTATGAAAAATGCATAGATTTGGTAATTTATACCTAATTATTTTCCTCATTATCAGTCCTTGTAAGCCGGTATTTGACCCCCTTTATGCAAACTAGAGGCGAGCGCATCTGCCCCGTGCAGGGCTTCCGTACGTCGACACTCTCTTAGAGCGAGTTTAAATGTTGACCGAGTTGATCTCATTAGGTCCCAAATGACCCCATGTCTCGGTCGATTGAATAATCGCCACAGAGAACATGCATCTCGAGCTGCATATAGTACTAAGTACTCTTTGGCCTTGTTCATATGAAACCACCCGAACCGCGATTCGGGTTAACTCGCATTCCTCACATCTGGTCCACGTGCCATCCAATGCTGTTTTATACTGTTTATGCTGATGTAATTAGGGGAGGGAGCTGGTAAAGGTGACCCACCTGTTCTCCCTCCCCCTCCACGAATGTGCTGGAAAATTTTAATAAACAAATAAACGAAATACATTCCTTTCAAACCGTACCTAATCACGATTCTCCGAAACTGCATTCATTTTTGTTTGAGGAAAACACACAAGGTAGCGTGTTATTAATGTCAGAGGTCAACGACCTGCTTGCTGGTGCCCCCCTTCCAGCGTATCTCGGCCGAATGCCGACGGTAGCTGTGAAGCTCGTCCTAGAATGGGCACATTATTTGAACATTACTGCTCTTGAAGTTGCTGCCACGTAAAATTTGGTATTGCTTATTAATAAAGAAATATCACCCCGTAATCCATGACCAGGTGAAGTCACATTGAAATAACATTGCATTCAGACGCAAATCGCAATGCTAGAAAACCGATTCGAAACTAGAAGTGGTTTGGGATGGAGGCGCTTTCAATGTGATTTGGAGATTTCAATGTGATTTCGAGAGTTCAGATTGGGCCACTTGAAACCGGCTTCGGGGCTAAGCACATGTAAAGCGCCTTCGCTGACTTCATATGAACAGGGCTTTTGACGACAGAATTCCAACCAGGTATCGCTTGGGAGGTGCCACATTTTCCTGTGGGGAGGCTCAACCTTTCACCATGAAGCTTTTTCTACCTCCATTCTCTCACTAAGCTCCTAGCGTGTTGCTTGTGTCCAAAAATAACGACTCAAACGTTGATTGGTCCCCTTTTCAAACCACATACAAAGAAAAATGCAGGCAATTGGCTGGTATAGTTTACAGGGAATTATGGCACGAAGAGTTGTTAAAGTTGCATGGACACTAATAAAAATAATTGGCTAATCTTGCGCCAAAATGCTCTAAAATGTTACAATCAAAACAAAATGCAGTTTACCTGTGTAATGTAAAGAAACTTCGTGTTCTTCATGTTCCAGAAAATGAAATATGACTAAGGAAGTAAACCTCCCTTATGAAGAAAGGTGGGTAAGACATAGGCGCCGTCTCGTCTCTGACCATGACACCACAATACACATTTGACAACAATGCACAAGTTAACCGTGCATCTTTTGTCCCTTCCAAAAATATTTTTACACTACAGTGGGCTGATATTTAAAAAAAAAACACCGAGAAGGTGTCGCAGCGATCTCGCCCCCCCCCCCCAGCGATTTCGCCCTCCAGTGGGGGTGAGATCGCTAGCGATTTCGCCCCGCCTCCGCAGATCTCGCCCCCTCCCTCTCCCGCCCCTAAGATAGCCTACTCTTTTACACCGTACTACAGGTTTGGTAGGTACACAAATTTAATAAACAATTCTAACGATATTATTACAGGTTTGGTTGAAGCAAGAAAGTTACCTTATTGGTTGAAATTTTCTGTATTTCTATGCTCAACAACATATGCATCAAAACAACACTGGATTTGAGCTGGTCATTGGTTAAATAATTTTGACAGTGTTTACATGCATATGCAACATAATTTCGCAAATACAACGAAATAGTATACTTAGAATTATTTAACAAATTTGTCTGCTTCTACATACTTAAACGGAAGTCTTTGGGGAAATAACTGATTTTTTCGCTAAAGGGGTGGGGGGTGGGGGGGCCAAATCAAAAGCGGGGAGGGCGAAATCGCTAGAGACCTCGACCGGGGAGGACAAAATGGCTGCGGATTTTGCCCCGGGGACAAGTGTTGTTTGTCCTCGGGGCTGGGAGTGCCAAATTTCAAGTGCCGTAGAGATCAACCAGTAGCCCCCCTTCCCTGTTGAGGGTGGGGTTGTACATTCTTCATATATTGCCTCTTTAACACCCCGTTCCCACCAGCGTGTTTCGCGGTCTAAGATATCAGTGGACTCGAGTTTGAAGGAGTGACCCTGGTTGTGTTGAAGGTGGTGGAAAATAGCTAAGGAGTAGCCGTTGGTACTAGGTCGGCAATGTTCCTTATATCTTACTTTGAGCGGCCGACTTGTCTCTCCGATGTAGGTGTTGTTACAGTTGGACTCCTCACATTTGGGTCTGTAAATAACATTCGCCTTGGTATCTTTGTGAGGTCGGTCCTTAGGGTGTACAAGTCTTTGTCTGAGGGGTTGAGTAATGTTTGAAGTTAGTGGTTATGTTGAAGTTTTGGGACATAAGTCGGAATTTCCCAGATACTCCTTGGACATACGGAATAGTGATGTTGACCTTGTTTTTGTTGGTCAATGGTTCGCACTTATTGGTTTTCTTAGACTGATCTGAAGATTTGAGCGCTTTGTTGAAAGTCCAGTTTTGGTAGCCACACTTAGCCAGGGCACCTCGGAGGTGTCTATGTTTGTCCGTTTTGGCTTGGTCTGAAGTGACAATGTTTTCTGCACGATGGAAGAGAGTTTTGATCAATGCTAGCTTGTATTCCAAAGGGTGGTGGGAATCGAAAGCCAGGTATTGATCAGTGTGGGTTGGTTTCCTGTATACTTCAAAACGAAGGTTACCATCTTCCTCTACGATAGTTTTGGTGTCTAGGAAAGGGAGCATGTTGTCATGACTTGGCTCCTGTGTGAACTTGATGTTGTCATCTATCTGGTTGATGTGGTCAAAGATATTATTAGCTACCCTCTTTTTTAATCTGCACGAAGTTCATTTAAATATCGATACCAGTTGGCTGGGGGAGTGTCATTGAAAGTGCTGAGGGCTTTGTTTTCAAACTTCTCCATGTACAGGTTTACACTTAAGCTCCTGTTCTGTATAACATAAGCTTTCTGACCAATTTGAATTATCTTGTCTTGATTTGTCTGACTTTTGTTCCCTTTTCAACTTCCAAAAACTTGTCTTCACTTATTTGCATATCAATTAATAGTTTGTCCTTGTAAACGTACATTTCCCCTCTGGTCTCTCAGTCACTGACCGAAGCTAGTGGATACTAGCTGAGACGTCTAACCGTTTCCAAAATCATATCTAGTTGCTTGAGTAACTGCGTTTTGGTGAATCTATAGTGCCCCCTCATTATTTGGCAGTACTTGCGACGTGTGACGTGTGCATGCCCGTATATTCCCGTACACATGGCTAATTACCAGGTGTCCGGGCGTGTCCGGAGGTATCACAGACCCGCACACGCCGTGGCTGATATTTCCTGCACACACCCGGACACACCCGGACACGCCAAGTTTCACGGGATGTGTACAGGCCCGGAAATCCCGGATAGTTTGGTTTTAGTACAGTGCAGTAAGAGAAGATAGCATATAATTCAAGAGAAGGTCAAAGGAAGTTACCCGATTAAATGTAAGAGATATCGACTTTATATTGTCAAAAGAGGATATATATTGCCAATAGATGTAAACCGGAACATATCATAGATGAAAAGATTCAGTGCCTACTGTCCTTGTTGCGGGCAGATTTGGTTCGTAAGCGCACGATCGGACAGAATTGTTCTTGAGACAGTTGGTAAAGATGCCAATAGCAAAGTTGACCCTCTCGTGAAAATCCGTCGCGGACTTGTTGGAACGAAAGCCGCCAGAAAAGAAGAGATATTCCGAATATAATCTGCAGATAGGAGGCAACATCGTAGACATTTTAACGCCATTGCAAGGAGCCTCCTGAGATGTGGTGTGCGTTGAGGTGTGCGATGCGGACATATTAAATATTCATCAATATTTACCATAACAATGTACGTATATAGAGTGCATGGAAACGGGTTTTACCACATTTACAAATTCAACTTCCCGAAATAAATCTATATGTAACAGACGATAATAGGATCAAATAAATGCTAGTACAATAGTCATAAGCGATGTTAGGAGTGATATGCATTACCCGGTAGAGTTATTAGTCGCAATAATTACCTGTCTGTTGGGTTTCTAAGTGTGAGGATAAACTTGGCGTGAGGCTGCACGGCATGGAGCAGGTTGGCCAGTAGAATAGGTGGTTCGTTGTTAGGAGTGTCCCACTGATGAACTCTCCAGTTACCGTTGCCCCATATTGTGGAGGGGCTGCCGTCTCCTGTGCGACATGAAAAAAAATCACAATACAAAATGACTGTTAAACCAGTAGACATGGACCTACCAACTGAGAAAATCATAATTAAATCTTCAGATTGTGTATAATGCCTTGACCTATTGACCTAAATGATCACAGGCTAATTTATCTTACCTGTGATGGCGCCATGATAATTGATTTCTTGTCCTGCAGATGTTAAGCTTTTTGTTGTCCGGGTTCTGATGGCCCAAGCCGCTTCTTCGAAGTATTTGAGATATCGCGCTGATAGAGAGCAATTAATATAGTATTGTGTTTCCGATATAAACGGAGAAATATGATGAAATCCTTTTACTACTCCACAGAGTCAAAATGATCACTCCCTTAATCCTTACATAGCCTGCGTTAAACAATATCTGAGAGATTGTGAATATACACCTCTACCTTTAGAGAATAACAAAAAATTGCAGGACTACTCACCTTCAACTCAGAATTGCTTACACATGTGAAAGGCCAAAGGGTGACTATAATTCTCTGTCACAGAATAAATCAATTATATTACAGCCTTTATCACTAAGTTAGCATTGGTCTAAATAGCATATTTCAATGAAGCAATATCAATAGAATAAGGGTATTTCATATGTTGGCCATTAAGCTTTATAGAGCCTGGCAATGAAAAAAACTGATGGAAGTGTGATATCGTCAGGTCGAAGCCATACCTAAACGCTGATTTCGTGTTTTAGCCCACCAGTGGGGTTCTTTCTTGCCACGAAAAACATCCGGATGTTTACAGATGCGGTAGTAAAGATCGGTCGTTCCACACTTGGGCATACCAATGATGTAGAAGTACGGCAAACATCTGCAGAGGCATTGATCATGAGTAGGCAAATGATGAGTGAAATCTTGAACGCTAAGAGAACTTTGTCAATGATTGCAAACTCCGATACCACACAGCTTTGTCCATTGTACTTTTATAATACTTTTATGGGGAAAAGGTCTGTGACCTTATTACGACTTCAAATTACTTTAAAATATTGTGTAAAAAAGTCCAGCAGCACAAGGGATAAATGACAGTAAATGTCACGTGTTAAATTCAACAATATTAATAATTGCGCAAAAGGTTTATAAAAACATGCGGCGTACCTAAACAGAAAATGTCTTGTCCCGTTGTGTAAGACTCTTTTCTGCCACCGTTCTAGCGGGTTCACGTCTTTTTTATTCACCTCCTCATACCAACACGGGTTCTTGTAATCGGGAAGAAACGTTCTTGGCAGAGCTGAAAACACCTAAAAAACCAAATACTAGGACACTAAAAGTTGTGGAAATAGAATGGGAGGCCCTAGACTTTTTAGAATTTCATGTTATATGATAAGAGTTTGATATATATATGTTATATGATGGATTTTCTTGTCGCCATGGCAACAGGTTCTTACCGGCAGTTTTTAAACGTTTCTAAATTTTTGGTTTAACAATTTTCAGATGGGGGGAGGGTGCCCGCTTTCATCTCCCATAGTGCCTGATCAGCATGCGCTAAAACCATAAAAATTGGGGATTTTTTCCTAAAATGTAAAAGGCAAGAATTTCTTATTAACTAGATGAATTTATAAATTTGATTAGAAAGGAATAAATGAAATTAAAACAGAGAAACACTAAAACAATTTTGACACCCCCACTAAAAGTAGTACTGTTACAATGTCAGGTAGTCACTGCAGGTGATTGCCTAGATAATCTGTCCATACCATCTTGTTTCAAGTAACATAGAATGTGATTGTTTTATCGGCAATGGATTAATTTTAAAAGGAATTTGTTTAAAGTGACTGTCAGTTAGGTAGGCTATGTGATAATAACGTTAATTCCCGGCTCCACTCTCTTGGTGGTTTATTCGGTGGTTATCGCACCTGACCAGGGATTATCTTTCCATATTCACTTCAACCCTACCTAGATCGGTCTTTTTTGGGCATGGGGGGACCGGGGGTGGGGGGTGTTAGTTTCATTTGACCCCCCCCCCCTCAGAACTCGCAAACGGATGCACTCTACATGATTCCAAAAGGCTTGAACGTGTCCAATATGAATGTGCGCTTACAGTTTCAGGAGCAGTAAGAGGTTCTTCTTACTCTTCGCTACTTACCGAACTTGGCTGGGAGAGACTTTCGGATCGCCGTCATGTTCACTCATTGGTTATGTTTTATAAAATTGTCCGCGGCCACACTCGCCACCTGATCCCTCCTGAAATCTGTGCTTCTACTTCTTATAATCTTCGTAATAAATCCAATCTACGGCTACCGTCTTGTACCACAACTAGATACCGTAGGTCTTTTATTCCATATGCAACGCAACACTGGAATAGTCTAGATGTAGATGTTCGTTCTCTTAATCTTTCACTCTTTAAAAAACATTTAGTCAAGTTAGTAAGTCCTCCCCTTTATCCGCATTTTAGTCACGGCCCCTGGTACCCCTGCGCCCTCCTTACTCGACTCCGCATTGGGACCTGCAGCTTAAATCATAGTTTATATCAACGTAATTTAGTTCTTAGTTCTACCTCTACCTGTGGGTCTAAATGCGAAGACATTGTACATTTCCTTTTGCACTGCCCTGTATACAACCTGCATAGAGTGACCCTTCTCAGCAACCTACAAAGCCTAGTAGGCTCAATTTGACTTGCGCAACTTGTCTGACCAAGCCAGTACGTATCTTTTACTGAGGGGTTCGCCCCTTTTACGTCTTGATGTTAACAAAAAAATTCTGATTCTTACTCAAACCTTTATACTTGATACCCAACGATTTACAGTTGCCTAATGATTTATATCGCCGTTAGTCTTGTATATACGAACGCTCATTTGTTGTTTTGTCATACCTGTAGTTTGTATTCTATGTTAGGGGTGTGATTAATATTAGCTTCGGCTAGAGTTTCCACCTCTGTGTCTCGTACCATGTCTTGTACTTTGTTGTTTCAATTAAAAAAAACAACAACTCGCGAACGGTATGTTGTATGACCACCAAATTTTCAGAGGATGGTGTACTAGTAAAAATTTATCATATCTACAATTTCTATGTCGTTGTAACGTAATATGACGTAATCATGACGTCATTGATGTGATTTTATTGGCCAAAACCGTATAGATAGGTTATTCCCTGAAAACTAAACAATATACGACTTAACTTTACCAAACGTGTTTATGACAGAATATTAGGATGTACTAAGTCTTATGTTGCCCATAGCAACACCGGTGACGTCATAAAATGACCTATCCGCCATCTTAGATCATCAATCTTGAATTTTGAAAAATAGTTTTCTTTCAGGATAAAGCCTAAAATACATTGTAAACAGACTAAAGACGTTCATATGAACCTTTTTCGTAAAGAGAAATGGGAGTATTGATAATTTTTTTAGGAAAATAAGCTGTATTTACCTGATCTAATGATATGGTCCGCCATCTTGGATTTTGGCCAATGACGTCATCAAATTAGCATAAATTATGCATTTTTAATGATAAAATTTACATATAATTATATGTGATGTTCTTAATATTAGAAACAATGTGTAAGTTGACATAAAACCCATAAAATTCTGTTGTTTAAATGGAAATTATTAAATTTGATAAAAAATGCCTGTAAGAAACCCATTGCCATGGCAACAAGACAAATCATAATCTTATTCCACTGATACAGATTTGTTGCCAACAATATTTTAAGAAAAGTCACCAAGTTTGGCGGTTCTAGTTTAAGCCATTCAGACGCTATTTGATATCAAAGTTGCCGCGGGCACTTTTAGCCCCCCCCCCCCTATCTAGATAGGGTTAACGCATCCAAGACAAAGCTCAAGCACTTAAACTTATTAACTGATGATAATCTCTTAGCCTCCGATGGTTATACAATTGAGCGAGTTGTCGATTTTAAGAAGAATAACTTTAAGTACTTTGGAGGTTACACTGATAGTAGTCATGAGTTGGATGTTAGGATTGCCCAGGCGTGGAGCTCCTTTCATTCACTACATAAAGTATGGAATCCTACATTAGTATTTCAGGCATGAAACTATTCTCCTATATGGATGTGATTCGTGTGTCATGAACACTACAAGATTAAGAAAAAAACGGAATCTACACTTTCACGCCCCGAATAAACAGTAAAACACTTCAGAACATCACCACTGTAGTAAAAGACGCCGGATAAGTCTCGCGGGTCATGTCATTCGTAGTAGCGAACCAGCTAGACGGCTCTTACTTTGGACTCCAGGTGCGAACGTAGAATCGGTCGTCCAACCGCCACTTTCAAGAAAGTCATAGAATCTGAGGCCGTTTTACCAGGACCTGAACTTCTGTCTGCAATGTCTGACAAACAGTACTGAAAACAGAACTTCTCCTGCTGCACCTCATAATGAGGATTATAGACACCCCAGGCGGTAGTAATGGACGGAGATAGTCAATTTTATAATTTAGACCATGGGTCCTTTTATGTTTGAGCAAAAATATATTCTGGGCATTTTCACCCTATTGTTAGAAGCCTATAATTAAATATATGCACCTCGGTTATTAACACTTGGTATACGCGGCATCATTTGACAGAAAATCATTTGTTTGGGGTTTTGTTTTCTATTTCTAAGCTAAAAGGTATATGTTGAGTTCTTTGCCTTGGTATATGTAGCAGTTTCGGTAGATAACGATCGACTCTGGATATATGGATGTGCCTGAAAAGGCCAACTAGACTGTATTTACAGCTTTGTCATACTATACACAAATTGATAATTTTTCAATTTTAGATATTTTCCCAAAAAGCTTCCGAACGTTTCAAATGACATCCGACAATCTTCTTCAACGTAACTAAATGGACTGACAAATTAAGTCCATCATATAAGTCTCCTTATCTCCATCTGCTCGTCACCCCACCAACCCTTCGCGCAGTAAATCCATTTCGATGACAGAATCGTCGAGGTGACCTCACAGAAAGAAGGAGTAAATGACTTGGAGAGTTCATTTTGCATAGCAGAGAGAGATATTTTTATGATAAAGTATATTCCTGGTTGTTGTCTTGTTTGGGTCAAACTTTTCATGCACAGTTTGTTGCTGTTTTCGTGCCAGAGTATTAAAATAAAAACATATATAAAAAGAACTAATGCACTAATGACGGCATAATATAAGTTGAAAAACTTGAGTGTGCCGTTACCAAGTCTGGCCATGAAATGTTAAGATAAAAAAAAAGTACTTACCCCTGGATGTAACCTCCTTAGTTCTTTTGTCATGTTAAATTCCGCTAATGTCGCCACCTGTTGTGTCTCCTCCTTACGTCCCAATGTAGTAGGATTTGCAATTTCGTTGCCTGACCCTACTTTACTTTGTGACCAACTATTCGAAACCTTTCGCGGGACGCTCAGCTCGTCTAGAAAGGGCCATGCACCCCCGTATCGATAGCCGTATAGAGACAGCAGGGTAAGGAGGCATGCACCACCCAACAGAGCTGTCCCCAAGAACAGGCGGCTGGTAGGTCGTTGGCAATGCATCCTAAAAAGAGAAAAAAAATTGTCAAGGGATAGGTAAGTACATAGTACAAAAACAAATCAAGCTCTACAAATCCTTAAGTGCTTTGATTTTTCCTAAAGCGGCTCGTTCTGAAACTGCAGGGAAGTTCCCAGCAAAATCTTTAAAAGAAAATAAGTTCGGAAAGGAACAGCGTATTTTCATCATTTGTAGGTAACTTAGAGAGAAATGTAATTTAATGCAGATTATGCCTAGATTTTCATAAATAGGTAGGAACTTCTGTAGTTAATATACGTATTTTACAAAATAGTGATTCAATACATTAAAACATGTAAGTCTCGGACCGGCGTTTTTTCACGATTTTAGATCCGGCAGACACCCACAGATCGAAGGGCTACAACTCCGCCGAAAAAAAGTACGCCGGGAAATCTCATTACATCAGACAACGGAGGTTTACAACCGGGCTTTCGTCGACTCTATAATTTGGGTAGAAAATGTAGTTAATCGTAAATCTGGATACGAAAAATAGAGTTTTTTTTGCAGTTTTTTCAACGGACCTGATTGAAAAAAACTTATTTTTTCCAGGCTAGCGGCTTAAATTCTGAAAAAGCTTACTACTTTCTGTTTCTGAAAAACGAAAAAAAAATGCCTTAAAATTCCACTTAGAACGCAGCTATTTGGGTCATCAGGCGACAACCACATCACCCTTACTCGCGGACGAATTTCCAAAAAGCTTCCCTGGCCGTCCAACTTCACCACGCCGAAAAACACTACAATCCCAAGGTTTTTAAAATCAATTCAAAACCTATTTGAAAATCTACAACGATCGCCGAACTATGGAAAGCCAAACCTATCGTGACAAACTCGCAGATCCGGCGATTTACTGCGCACTGGTCAGATTTAAACTCCGACCCGGAACCGTAATCTACGACTGATAGAAAATTATGCAAATGTGGACCTAATTTGCTAAGTTGCTATGAAAGCTTAGATTCTTTAATTGCCTTCGCCGAGAAGGTTATTTTTGTGTGTGTGTGTGTTTGTGAACACGATAACTCGAGTACGCCTGGATGGATTGTCTTGATATTTAGTAGGTGCGTAGGTCTTGATGAGAAGATAAGCCAAGAGGTCTTGAAGAGACCTGGAACTGATTGGATTCTTGGACCCCTAGCGGCTTGTCGTGGTATTGCAGCAGAACTTCCGGTTTTGATATCTCATAATCCAGGCATGCTAGGGTCACAGAATTTACATATTATATAGTTCTTGTGTTGGAGATAAGGTGACATAAGTTTGAGCCCCCTAGCTGCTCTTAAGCTGTAGGGGCGTTTGTTGACCATGTTTAAAGGAGGATAACTCAAGAACCGATTGATGGAACGTCGAGATTTTTGGTATGTAGGTAGCTTAAGTAATGCTTGACATAATGATATGACATTTATGCAAATATGGATATAATTTGAATAATTATTGAGGAAATTGTATGAATCACCTGCATTCCATGATAGGGCTATGTGACATATGTCAAGCTTGTGAAATATGTCATTAAGAACGAGAGTATGAATGTGAACATAATTAAACATACCTTACTCAAATAACGGCCTCATTTGCATAATTTATGCTATAATGACATTTGTTTATTTGTTTATTTACCATTTGCACGTATATTAAAAACAATTACACAATCAAATAATAATAATCAAAGAATGTGCGGGGTAAGCCAGAAACCTGGGTGGTTTTTCTAGAGGCCTACCCCAAGCAAAGATAACTTATGACAAAACATATTTAAATTAAACATCAAAATTAAACAATGAAATAATTAAACAATGAGTAATTAAACAAAATCAAGACACAGAAATAATAACTGAGGTGTATAAACTAACTAAAACGAAATTAAACAGAAGTCTTATACCTGTTATTCAGGTCGATGTTACAGATTAAACTGATTAAATAATTAACATAAGAATTAACGATTAAAACAAAATATTAACAATAACAAGGAAAACAAACAAATCAAATTGTGGATGTACTGGGATTTTGTAGGAAAAAGTTTTTAAGAAGTTTTTTAAATACAGGAGTTGACTGACAGTTTTGTAACAGTTGGCTTAACTTATTCCAGACGATGGGGCCTCTATACGCTATTGAGAATTGTTTTTGTGTAGATTTAGTCTTGATCGGCCTTAAATGGTTATGTTGTCTCGTATTGTGCTGGTGAATGTCTGAGTTGAATGTAAAAAAAGTGTTGAATTGATCTGGTAAACTATTGGTATTATGAAGGATTTTATGAACAAAAATGGCTATTTGTAATTTGTTTAAGTCATATACATTTATGATTTTTAGTTCACGAAACAGAGGTGCTGAGTGTGCTGTGAAGTGTGTGTTAGCTGCAATTCTAACAAAGTGTTTTTGCAGTTGATAGAGTGGTTTAATTGAAGTTGTGTAAGTGCTCGCCCAAATGAAATTGCAGTATGATAGATACGGATATATTAGACTGTAGTATAATGTTATAAATATTCTTCGTGGGAGGAGGGTCTTTATTTTTCTAATGATGCCTATGTTCTTATGAATCTTATTGCAAATCAAATCTATATGTATCTTCCAATTAAGTTTTTCATCTATAAGTATTCCTAAAAATTANGGCAATGCATCCTAAAAAGAGAAAAATTGTCAAGGGATAGGTAAGTACATAGTACAAAAACAAATCAAGCTCTACAAATCCTTAAGTGCTTTGATTTTTCCTAAAGCGGCTCGTTCTGAAACTGCAGGGAAGTTCCCAGCAAAATCTTTAAAAGAAAATAAGTTCGGAAAGGAACAGCGTATTTTCATCATTTGTAGGTAACTTAGAGAGAAATGTAATTTAATGCAGATTATGCCTAGATTTTCATAAATAGGTAGGAACTTCTGTAGTTAATATACGAGGGGTGTTCAAAAAGTTCTCGGCCTCACCTAGAAAATAAAGTTCAAACTCCTATTCTTTGGCATAGCTGTATACTATGACGTCTTACATCACTGCACACAAAAATTCAAATTTTTGTATTCATTAATGAGCACGTGACGCCCCGTGAAAATGGGGTGGGTGAGGGTAAATCACAAAATGGCCGCAAAAGAAGCGTGTGCTGTGATCAAGTGTATCGATAAAAAAGGATGTCTCCTAAGGACATCCATGAAGACATGGTCAAGACACTTGGTGATGACTCCCCTTCTTATTTCAATATAAAGAACGGGGTTACTAGCTACAATCGCGGCAAGGAGAACACAAAAGATGAACATAGGTCAGGATGCCACAAATCAGCACCATGGACAATCCAGTTGAGGCCATCCATCACATGGTAGTGAATGACAGATGTAAGACTGTCCAACATGTAGCAGGTTCTTTGGCCTGTGTTATGACTCAGTTCACAATATTTTGTCGAACATCCTGGGGATGAACAAACTGTCTGCATGGTGGGTGCCTCGAATGTTTTTTGAACATCAGAACTTAAACAGGCTTGACATTTCAAGGAACGAATTCAGTCCAATTCATGCAGTTCCCTCAAAACATTTGTCACTCAAGATGAGCTGGGTTCACCACTTTCACCCCGAATAAAAACAACAGAGCAAACAATGGATGAAGAATTTTTCCCGCCCCCCAAAGAAGTTTTAGCGAGTTTCGTCTGTTGACAGGGTTTTTGCCTCTGTTCTCTGGGACAGTAAGGAAGTAACCATGATTGACTACATGCGAAGGGGTTAAAGCATCAATGGGGAGTACTACTAAACAGAATTACGACATTTGAGGACAACGATCAAAGAGAAAAGGAGAGGAAAGCTCCTAGCTGGCGTGCTGACAATGCACCTGTCCACACAACAAAGGGGTCAGCGACAGCAGCAAACGAATTTGGGTTTGCAGTCTAACCCCACCCTTCCAATTCACCTGATCTAGCACCCTCGGACTTCTACCTGTTTCCTACACTCAAGTTCCACTTACGTGGTCAACGTTTTGATGGTAATGATGACGTCATCTATGCGGTATAGGCCTATCTGGGGGGTCCAGATGCAACCTTCTTCCACAAGGGGAAAATAAAGCTGGAACATCACTGGACCAAGTGCATTACAGTTAGAGAGGACTATATTAAAAGATAGTTTAAGAAAAATTTTACTGCCCTGACGTTTTCTAGGTGAGGCCGAGAACTTTTTGAACACCCCTCGTATTTTACAAAATAGTGATTCAATACATTAAAACATGTAAGTCTCGGACCGGCGTTTTTTCACGATTTTAGATCCGGCAGACACCCACAGATCGAAGGGCTACAACTCCGCCGAAAAAAAGTACGCCGGGAAATCTCATTACATCAGACAACGGAGGTTTACAACCGGGCTTTCGTCGACTCTATAATTTGGGTAGAAAATGTAGTTAATCGTAAATCTGGATACGAAAAATAGAGTTTTTTTTGCAATTTTTTCAACGGACCTGATTGAAAAAAACTTATTTTTTCCAGGCTAGCGGCTTAAATTCTGAAAAAGCTTACTACTTTCTGTTTCTGAAAAAACGAAAAAAAAATGCCTTAAAATTCCACTTAGAACGCAGCTATTTGGGTCATCAGGCGACAACCACATCACCCTTACTCGCGGACGAATTTCCAAAAAGCTTCCCTGGCCGTCCAACTTCACCACGCCGAAAAACACTACAATCCCAAGGTTTTTAAAATCAATTCAAAACCTATTTGAAAATCTACAACGATCGCCGAACTATGGGAAGCCAAACCTATCGTGACAAACTCGCAGATCCGGCGATTTACTGCGCACTGGTCAGATTTAAACTCCGACCCGGAACCGTAATCTACGACTGATAGAAAATTATGCAAATGTGGACCTAATTTGCTAAGTTGCTATGAAAGCTTAGATTCTTTAATTGCCTTCGCCGAGAAGGTTATTTTTGTGTGTGTGTGTGTTTGTGAACACGATAACTCGAGTACGCCTGGATGGATTGTCTTGATATTTAGTAGGTGCGTAGGTCTTGATGAGAAGCCAAGCCAAGAGGTCTTGAAGAGACCTG